AAATCCCAACACTTCCATTATACTCACTTATTCATTCACTAAAGAAAACACTTATTGAGTATCTATGATGTGCTAGGTACAGTTCCAATCACAGGGACACAGCTCTACCCTCCTGGATCTGACCTTCTAGTTAGGGTGATGGGCCTGGGGCAGGGGAGACCGATAATAAACAAGTGGACAAAGACATAAATAATTTCAGATAGTAAGTATTGTAAAGAAAATAAAACTGTGTGACTTGCTAGCAAGGAGCTGGGGGCCTGACTTGCAGCAGGCATTAGCGAAGGCCTTTTAGAGGAGGTGATATTTGACTTGAGGTGGGAATAATGAGACACAGTCAGCCATGAGATGATTTGTGTAAGGTTCTAAGAAGAGGGAACAGGAAGTGCAAAGGCCCTGAGGCTGCTCCCTCCAAGAACTGACAAAAGCCATTGTGAATACCTGGATTAATCCAAAATTTAGGAGATAGTATGAGCAAGGCCCTGAGAAAGGGCTTCTGAGCATGCCTCCAGGACATCCTGGATACCAGTAATAATAATTAGCATTATTGTAGTAGCTACCGCCATTCATGGAGCACCTCGTACACGCCAGCCCCGATACTGGGCACCTCATATCCAGGGGCCCCTCTGACTCTGGGGCAGGCACTATTATTAACATCCCCATTTTACAGAGGAGAAAAACCGAGGCTCAGAGCTGGTAGTCAGGGAGTCTGGAGCAAAGCGAGGAAGCCAGCACGAGGCCAGGCCACCTCCTACCTGATGACCTTTGGCCATTCTTTGTCTCTGATGTGGGGTGTCTTCATCATTCTCCTGGTCTGCAGGGCTGGGAGAGGGGCGGAGAGGACAGAGAATGAACCCCCAGAGCGTCTTCTCCAGGAACCCTGCCCCCGCCTGCTCCCCATCCACCAGTACCACCAACTTGTGCTAGAGAAGAGGGCAGGCCTGGGGGTGACTTCCCAGCCAGCCAGCAGCTGGAGCCCTGGACCAGGGCGCAGCGGGGTGTGGCCAGGGCGGGGGCGGGGCCAAGGCTGCGTACTTGACTGTGCGGGTCTAGGAGACCCCGCGCCTGACACAGCCACCTCCCCTGCGCGGCGCCTGGACAGAACGCAGCACGAGGACCGGCTCCGGCCACAGCCCTGCCTGGAAGAGGCTGCCTCTTACGCAACAGGTGCGTGAGAGCCAGTGGCTTCACCTACCGGTTAGGGACAAGGAAAGGACACCCCTGGGGAGAGTCTGTATCTAGGTCAGAGGAGCCCCTACTCAGACCCCCGACTCCGGTCAGTTTAAGGCCCATCAGCACAGGCTCCCGCTGCACCGGAGCTCTTGGAATCCCCAAGAGGCCGTGCTGTTGACCCTTTTATACAAAGGAGGAAGGGGAGGCGCAGAGGGGGCGGGGTCACCTGCGCAAGATGGCATGGGCCGCCAGGGCAGAATCAGAATTCAGGTCCCCAACCCAGCCCCTTTCTTCTTTTTGTTTTTTTTTTTTCTGTGAGGAAGATTAGCCCTGAGCTAACATCTGTTGCCAATCCTCCTCTTTTTTTGCTGAGGAAGACTGGCCCTGGGCTAACATCCATGCCCATCTTCCACCACTTTATATGGGACGCCGCCACAGCATGGCTTGACAAGCAGTGCGTCAGTCCATGCCCAGGATCCGAACCTGCGAACCCCCCGGCCCCTGAAGCAGAGTGCGGGAACTTAACCACTTCGCCGCTGGGCCAGCCCCCAACCCAGCCCCTTTCCACCAGAGCACCCTGTCTCACCCCAGCTATCCACACCTAATAAAAGTATAAATAATAAAATAACAATAATCAATAATAACAATCATAATTTTTTTAAAAAAAGGTCATCGTGACTGAGTACTTCTGCAAGCCAACCTATTCTAGGTGCCTTCATATAGTAATACTTCATCCCTACCCTTATGAGACAAAGGCTATGGGATCCCCATTTCTCAGAGGGAGAAACTGAGGCACAGAGAGGTTATGTGCCCTCTGCAGGCCACACAGCTTGGAAGTGGCAGAATGAAGATTTGCACCCAGATGGTCTGCCTACCGAGACCACATTTCCAGAGAACACACACGTCCGCCTCTCAGATAGTAAATGAATTGCCTCCTTTTCCAGATCTTAAAAAGTCCAATTCTGTGTGATTTCAAAACCCCCAACTCCACCCAGTTTAAAGCTTCGCTCATCCCCAGCTCAGGCCTGTGTCAGACTGCAGTGGGGGCCATGTTGGGACACGGTGGGCCTCGTCCCTGTTTCTCTCTTTGCATCCTTTCTCCTCGCCCATAGCTGTGGGAACGCAAGGAAGCGGGCAGGACAGTTTCTACTTGGCTCCTATAGTTGTAAGGTGGGGCCAAAGCCTTCTGTGTGGCTGAAGCATGGTTGCTGGATCTTTCTGGGGAGTGGGTACTTTGAGGATCCTCATCACTGGAAAGTGTATTCCCAAGGCTTCCATGAAGTGGGCCCGCTGGAGGCTCACTGCCATCTCCTGACCGCCTCCAGCCTCCTTCTCCCCAGGTCAGTCATCAGCAAGCCCTCTTCCATGAGGGTCTTTGCCAGGACAGCCTCCAGGTGGCTTCCTTCGGAGGCATCTGCCACTGGCTGATGGGAAACGCCTGGACATCTTTGTTGTGCCCCCAAACGCTGGAGGCATGGGCCATCTCCACCCCAGCCCTCTATTTCCTCCACCCCCACGGGCCTCTCCCACCCCATCCCTCACCTGGGGACTTATTGGTCTAAGTTCCCACAGACTCCAGGGGAAACATCTCCAGCCCCCCAAGAGGTTCCCTTGGAGCCGCCCTCGCTTGGCCTGTGGAGGAGGAAAACCCCGGACCCTCACCCCAGAGGAGGACTCAGGGTTCGTTCTCAACTCTCCTCCAGGGAGCCTCACTCTGGGACACCTGCTCCTCCCCATGAGCTCCTGGTCTCCCTGCCCAGGGCTGGGTGGAGGTAGAGTGGAGAACCCCTGTTAGCTGGACCGCAGTCGAGAATGGGGGTTCTTGGCATCGGTTATTCTGTTCTCAGGCTCTGGGACCTCTGTGGAGATTTTGAGACAACGGGAGAAGTCAAGTTTAATATCCTGGTATTGGAGTGTCCCTGGACTCAAACTGGGAAAAATTGAATAGAGACTTTTTCTCATTTGATTGAAGGTTGGAGATGAAGCAAAATAACTGTGCTCCTGTACAGTAAGAGTTCTGGAATCATCTCTATGGTTCCAGCTCTGAAATTCCATCCTTCATCTGGCATACTTAAAAAAAAAACCCCAAAAAAGGAAAAAAAAAAAAAAAAAAACCAAAGGAAAACCGCCCCAACCCCGAAAAATCCAGAACCCAATGAACCCCAAGAAACCCCGGGAAAAGGGTAACAAACCACCCCCCTGAAGAAGGGGGAAAACGAAGCCCAAAACCCAAGAAAAAAAAGCAGCCGAAGCAAGGGCAAGAACCCAGGTCTAGCGGCCTCAAAATCTGCAAAGGAAACCATGATTCTACATCAGCTGGAGTAAGGGTGGCTGAGATGTGAGATCTTCTCCTTAAGATGCCTTGGGGACACTCCCTGAATCACCAAGTGGCTGCAGCTGGGTCGTGGTCAGAACTCGATCCCAGAACGTGGATGCATGACCTGGGATCTTCCCCCTTTGGTCACTTATTCAACAAACACTCTGAGTGCCTGCTCTGCACCCAGCCTGTGCTGGGTGGCGCTGGGGACACAGCAGTGACCAAGCCGGCCCCAGCCCTGCCTTCCTGGGGCTCACAGTCCAGAGGGAAGACAGACCCGTCCCCAGACGGTGGGATGGGCAGGAATGGGGTGGGGGAGGGAGACCAGAGGAGAGGGCTCAGGTCCGAAGCTGGGAGGTGGTGACCAGGGGACGACCTTTGAAAGCTGTCCAAATCAAAATAGGCCTTCAGAAAGACAGGACATCAGTTATGCAAATTGCGTCCCTCCGCTCTTTGTTTCATGAATGTAAGAACGCAGATTTTTTCCATGAAGGTAGAAAAGCAGAACCCTGAGCAGGTACTCGGGTAAAACACTTGATTCCTGTCTCTTCGTGGCAAGAGCTCGCATCTCCCCATCAAGTCAATTGCAGTCCCTGCCCAAACACTGTGGGATCTATTACCGAGCACACCTGAGGGTCAGGGAAGACTGAGGAAGAGAGAATGCCTGAGCTGAAGCTCCAATCACAGCCAGGTACAGAGTTGGGGGTGGCGGGGACAAAAAGGCCTGGAGGCCAGAGCAACTGCACGGAGTTCAGTTTGACCCATGCAGAGAATGAGGGGAGAGCGGGAGAGGAGCATGGAGAGGCAGCAGGTGCCAGGAGAAGCAGTCTTCACTGTGCCGTGAGAGCACTGGGGAGCCATGGAAGGTTTATGAGCGGGGGAGTAGAAAAGCCACACCAGCTGCCGACTCAGAGAGCAAATCAATGGAGGTAGGGAGTGGGCAGTGAGCCCCCCAGAAGGCCTGATAGTGGGACAACTCCCAGCTCTCCACTCAGGACCTTGGGTCTGAGACTCAAGCTTGCTGTGCCTCGGTTTACCTGCCCGTAAAACAGACTAGCGCCAACATCAGAGTTGTTGGGGGAATCAGGGAGGTAATGGCTGGGAGAGTTTGGCACAGTCCCTGGCACTCAGCTAGCACACGGTGTCAGCTGATCACCTGGAGGCGCCCTCTGAGACCTGTCACACCCCCTTCCAGAACACAGCACATATATCTGCTGCTGCCCTGGGAGTCACAATCCCCAGCCACCCCTGCTCATTCACTTACCAAGAAGAAGGCGGATGTTTTCACATTTGTTCTGGAAGTGGGTATTTCTGATCCTTAAAACTTATTATATGGCTTTTTTTAATCTTTAAAGGGCATATTTACAGTATTCCCAGTACTTGCGGTTGTAGAGGCAAGAATGATAATAATGATGATAATTATAATGTCAAGCATTATCTGGCATTCACCTTATTAGGACACTGTTCTAAGCAATTTACAAGCATTAGATCAAGGCTTCTCACCATCAGCACTATGGACCTCTTTGGGCCCAATGATTCCTCGTGGGGGGCTGTCCTGTGCACTGTGGGATGCTTAGCGGCATCCTTGGTCTCTACACACTAGATGCCAGTAGCACACCCCCCCCCCAAGTCATGACAACCAAAAAGATTTCCAGACATTGCCAACATCCCCTGGGGGGCAAAATCGTCCCCAGCTGAAAATCACTGGAGACATTATTATCCCATTTTATAGATGAGGAAACTAAGGCTCAGAGAGGTTAAGTAACTTTCCCAGAGTAACCACAGTCAATAAGTTTCGGGACTTGCACGCTGGCAGTCCAATTCTGGAGCCTGCATTGTAGTGTGTGTGCATTTGTGTGTGTGCAAGACAATTAAGAACCTGCTTTATACACTATTTTCTTTATTCAAATTTTGCTTAATTTTTGAATGGGTTATACATTCCCGTGGTTCAAATCTCAAAAATATATCAAAGGCCTTGGGTGAAGTCTCTGTCCTACCCCACCCAGTTCCCCATCTCCCTTCCCCGCAACACACACACAGATAGCCACTGTTTTTGTGTATCCTTCCAAAGTTTCTTTGTGCATTTACAAGCAAATGCAAATATATATTTACTTTCCTCCCATTTTTACACCAAAGGTAGCACACCATATCAACTGTTTAAAAGCTTGTATCTGAACTGCTTACCTTGGTGATCTTTCCCTCTCAGTTCATAGACTTCCTCATCCTTCTGTAGAGCTGCATTGTTCCATTGTGTGAATGGACCACAATTTATTTAATCAGTTCCCTATGGATGGGCAGTTGGGTATTTCCCATCTTTCGCCGTTACAGATAAGATGTGGCAAATAACGCTCTACATCTGTCATTTTACACCATAGAACACGTTCCCTGAAGTTTAATTACAGGATCAAAGGGTGTGGGAATTTTTAATCTTGAAAGACTTTGCAGACTGCCCTCTGCCTGGGGTTTTACCAGCCGTGTCCGAGAGTTTCCTGTTGCCCTCAGCCTCACCAGCACCATGAGTCACCAAACTCTCAGATCTTTGCCAATCTGGTGAAAAGCGTATCTCAGTTCATTTTAATTTGCATTTCTCTTACTACGAGTCCAGCTGAACATTTTCCCTATGTCAAGAGACATTTGAATTTTCTTTTCTATGTACTGCCCATCCATATCCTTTGTATGTTTTTCCATTAGGTTGCTGGTATTTTTCTTATTGATATCTAGGTGCTCTTTATGTATTAGTGAAATGAGCTCTTTGTGATATCAAAGAGCAAATAAGTTTTCCTGGCATGTCATTGTTCTTTTGACTTTGTCGGTGGTGGTTTGTTTTTTTTTTTAACTTTGCAGAAGTTTCTTTTTATTTTTATGTCAAAATTTTTAGTCTTTTATGGCTGGAACTCATGTTGTTACTGCAACCATTCCAGTGAGAGGCAGAAGAGTGGGGTGGGTAAGCGCATAGGGTCTGGAACCAGACTCCAAGGGTTTGACTTCAAGCTCTAAGCAACATGGAAATTAATTAGAAGAAGTGAGAGAAACTGGGGCAGGGGTGTGGGGGTGGGCACACTTGACAGTATAGTTACTGGCTGAGAACTTCCACTGCCTGGGTGTGGATCACAGCTCTGCTGTTTGCCACCCATGATACCCTGGACAAATGTCTTAAATCTCTGAGCCTCCGTTTCCTCATCTCTTTAGGGGTATAATAGTTGGGTCAGACAGGGTTGAGGCAAGAAGCAGACGATCTGCTCAAAAGGAGGCTTGAGGAGGGTTTAATCAAGGGACGATTTGCAGACCTGTTGGCAGGGTATAGGGAAACTGACGCGGGATTGTGCAGTGCCCAGCGGCTAGCAACGGCGGGAAGCCGTTACCTCCCCGGGGCTAGAAGCTGTACAGGAAAGAGCAGACCCCCAAACCAAAAGAGAGTGATATACGGAGAGCGTGGCCCCATAGGAGCTTTGGTGGAGGGATACAGTCAAGTCGCGCTGATGGAGCAGGGAGGGAGCTGTGGGGCCAGTTACCCCGAGGTCACTCCCCTCCTGCCCTCCCGTCTTCCCATTGGCAGAAGCCAACCAGAAGCAAAAGGTGAAGGGACCCCAATGATGCAGCTCAGGGAAGTCAGCCTTTTGGGGAGCAGAGCTGGCAGAGAAGGGTGAGGAGCGAATCTACATGACATCCAGCGTAATGTGGGCTTGGTGAGGTGGATGTAAGGAGTAAGTGAGATAGAACATGCTCAGCACTAGAACAGTATCTGGCTTGTGGGAGGTGCTAGGTGAATGTTCCCTTTTATTGCTACGTATTTTTATCACTATCATCATCCCTGTTGTCATCATCGACTCCACCAGCTCAGGAAGGGTTACGTGCTGGGGCAGCATCTGGCCTTGGTCTCACTTGCTCCCCTCTCCCTCCTCTCCCTCCCACCTGCTCCAGGGCGCCCTGCTCGCATCCTGCACTTGGTCTGCCTCCTCCGAGCTGCCCTCGTCTGCGCCTCGGGACCCCTTGACTGAAGGAGCCAGTGCCCTCTGCCCGTCCCTGGAAGCCTCAATGGCACTCTCACTGCCTCTTGGTTCCGAAAGCATGAGGCCAGAAGCCATGATCTTCTCCCCTGATGGCCTCGCAGGGCCTGGCCACACTGCCCGGGAGATGCTGGACACCCAAGGCAGCCTGGTCATCAGGAGCGTGATGGCTCACGACTCGGGCAGCTCCACTGTGGTGGCTGGAAACGAGCCAGGGACGCAGGAGTGGGACGGAGCAGATACGTGTCAAGGGTGAGTGGGCCCCACAGCGGGAGGGACTGAGTTCTAGGTCACCGGGGCCCATCAGGACACATTCTGTGCCAGTAATCGATCACTCCCTAACAAACCACCCCAAAACTTAAAACAGCAACCATTTCTTTAGCTCACGATTCTGCTGGACAGTTCTGATCTCAGCTGATTTCAGCTGGGCTCACTGATGTGTGTGGTCAGCCGGGGAGCGCCTGGGTGCTGGCTGGTCCAGGATGGCCTCCTTCATACGTCCGGCGGTGGCCTGGCTGGCCGCTGGGGCAAAGGGGGTCACTGGGCCACGTGGCCTCTCATCATCCAGCAGGCCGGCCTGGGCTTGTTCACTCAGAATGGAAGATGACCAAGAGCAGAAGATGCAAGGCCTCTTGAGGCCCAGGCTCAGAACTGGCCTGCCATCACTGCCGCCATATTTTCCCGGCCAAAGCGAGTCACACAACTGGCCCGGCTTCAACTGGAGGGAAATAAGCTCCCCCTCTGAATGAGAGGAGTTGCAAAGTGTTGTGGCCACTTTTTTTTGTCATCTACCACACTTTCCAACAGATATTCATGAACTCTTCGCCCATCAACACTTGGGGAAGGGCCAAGGTCGCTGGTGGCACCTTCAAACTCATCTGCTTTTATGAGCTATTCAGCTCTGGACTTGAGCTTCCTTACCTGAACCTGAAAAACAAAGCCCTGAGGTCAACCAGACCCATCCTCCTTAGAAGGGAGCTTAAGGGTGTATTCGTCTGTTTGGGCTGCCATAACCAAATACAACAGACGGGGCGGCTTCAACATGACAGATTTATTTCTCCAGTTCTGGAGGCTGGAAGTCCACGATCAAGGTATCAGCAGGTTTGGTTTCTCCTGAGGCCTCTCTCCGTGGCTTGTGGGTGGCTGCCTTCTCCCTGTGTCCCTCACGTGGTCTTTTCTCTGTGTGCCTGCCCCAGCGTCTCTCTGGGTCCTAGTCTCCTCCTCTTATAGGAACATCAGTCAGATTGTATTAGGACCTGCCCTAACGGCCTCATTTTAACTTAATTACCTCTTTAAAGTTCCCATCGCCAAATATAGTCACGTTCTAAGATCCTGGGGGGTTAGAGCTTCAACATATGAATGGGGGGGACACAATTCAGTCCATGACAGAGACCATATGAGTTAGGATTCAGAATCTGATGCTCTAATAAAGACCCAAAATGACACTGTCTTAAACAAGATGGAAATTTCTCTCTCTCTCACATAATAGTCTGGCATAAACAGTTTAGGGATGACATGGTGGCTTCACGGTGTCGGGACACAGCCTCCTTCTGCTTGTTCCGTCATTGCCAGATTTTGTCCTGCCCGTGGGATCCAAGATGGCTCCCATCACATCTGCATTCCAACCAACACAACAGGAGAGGTGAAGGGGAGTGAAGGTGCCTTCCTTTTAAGCCCCGACATAGAGGATGCTCGCATCCCACTGGCTGGGAGCAGTCACATGGTCGTACTTAGCCACGAGAGAAGCTGAAATGTAGTCTTTATCCCGGGAAACCATACACCTAGCCAAAATGTGGGATTCTGTGACTAAAGGAAGAAAGAGAGTAGAGATGGAGGGAGAAATCCAGCAGTTTCTGCCACAGGTTTCTATTGGAGGATACCCTGGGGGTCTCACCCACTGCCCCCATCCTAAGTTTAGCCAAGTGTTCCTTCCAAGCATAATGCGTTTGGCTTTTAGGTCAGCCAAGCTCCCTGCTGGTCAGCCCACTCCCTAACGCGTCTCTATGTCCTGGCATGCCTGTGGGCTCCCAGCTCCACAAGGGTGATGAGGGGATGTGAGGAAAAGGTGTTCATTCCCCAGGAACAGTAATATGGGGTAGGAGGGCTGGGGCTGTGGGGGAGGCTTGAGGTGGGTGTGACCACATTGCTATCTAATAATTCAACAAACCATCGGCACCTGCCCTGTACCTGGCCCTCTGCTGGGTGGTGGAAGGAACACAATCATGACTAAGACAGCCCTGGCCCAGCCCTCCCCTCCGGGGCTCACAGTGGGGGGAGACAGACCTGTCCCCACACAGGGATGACTCAGAGCAGGCAGGGCTGGGACGGGGGATCTCAGGGGCTGTGGGAGGCCAGAGGGCACCTGGCCCCCTCTGGAGGATCTGGGAGGGCTTCCTGGAGGAGGGCGAATTCAGCAGTGAATAGTACAGAGTTGGTTCCTCTCACCATGGAATTCCCAGTCTATCAGGAGAGAGAGACATGAAAGGAAGAATCACAAGGCTAGAGTCAGAGACTTCTGACTTCTCAAGAAGTAACATTTAAAATGCTTTCTGAAGAGAAGGGAAGATAGCCAATAAGGATGGTGTGGAAGTGGTTCCAGGCAGCGAGAACAGCATGGACAGGGCTGGAGGGGTAAGAGAGACCTCGGTGAGTGTGAGAAATTGAGAGTAGAGCAGTGTACAGGGCGTGGGCCATGTGAGGCCACTAGTTTTTCAGATAGAGCTGGGGGTCAACAGGGTGCACCGTGCGGGGCCTTGCGAGGCTTCAGGAAGAACCTTAGACTTCCATTCAACAAACATTTACCAGCGCTGATTGTTATGTCTGCATCAAATACCTTTTTAGAGCCTTCTCAGTCCTGAGTGATGCTGGGGTCATGGGCAGGGAGACGTGAGATCCAAAGCAGATATCTGACCCAGCCTGGGGGACCAGGTCTGGCTTCCCAGAGGAAGGGGCATCTGAGCTGGGCCCTGTAGGCTGAGCAGGAGTTCGCCAGATGAAGAGTGAGGAAAAGCGCTCCTGCAGAGAGGCAGCAGGAAGCAGGAGCGAAGGGCTCCAATTTCCTGATCACTCACTATGTGCCAAACCCTGGGGGGTTTCACAGAAACCCGAGAAAGCAGAGGCTCTGAGCACCGACCCCATTGCACAGGTGGGCAAACTGAGGCTCAGAGAGGTGACGTCGATAGCCTGCAGTCACACAGAAGCAAAGGGCTGAGCTGGGGTTCTGCATGACTCTCTATGATCCTGGAGCTTATCTCCTTCTACGCCGCCTCTCTAGCCCGGCAGCATCTCTAAGGTACAGTGCAAGGTGGGGGAGGCGACTTGGAACCCGCGTCTGCACCCAGGGATTTTTACCTCCACCAGAAAATTTAAGGGCAGCTGAGTTCCATCAGCCTGCATTTCTGTGAGTGGAAGCCCAATTCTTCTCCTAGAGGCCGACCTCTACACCAGTCTCCTTCTCAGCCTGCGGCTTGTGCAGGCTCTGAACCCCGAGCCACCGGCGTTCAAACCCCTGCCGCACTGCCTACCAGTCACGTGTCCTCGGACAGCAACTTCCCTCTGCGTGCTTCCGTGTCCTCATCTGCAGAACGGGGTCACAGTAGGACCAACTCATGGGGTTGTTGTGAGAATTAAATGAGGACATCCAGTGGCTTTCAAACTTTTTCAGTCATGACCCGCGGTAAGAAATGCATTTCACGTCATGACCCAGCGTGTACGTAGATACACGCGCCGCGAGTAACTGAAAGACAGGTGTCATAAAAGAACGATTGTTGCTATGAGGAATGCATTCTGATATTTTTCTATTGTATTGCATTTCGTGTTTAAATGCTGATTGCAACCTACTCAATGATTTCGCCCAAGCGTGGGTCTCACTCAAAGTATAGAAGCCGTAAGTCAACGTGTTTAGAAGGGTGCTTGGCTCATAGGAAGGGGCCAGTCCAGGTAGCTGTTACACGGATTCTTGTTTCTACACCTGGTCGGCTCTTTCACCTCCTGCAAAGCTTAGCTCAGGCACCACCTCCTCCAGGAAGCCTTCTGTGAGCTTTCTCGTTGGGCTAAAATCCTTTTCACTTAGCATATTGCACTGAAACTGGAAATCAGCTCAGTGTGGAGGTTCCCAGCCATGACATCAGATTTCCCAGGTTCAGATCCCAGCCGTGCCTCTCTCTGACCATGAGGCCTGGCCCTAAGAACCCCAGACCTCGGAGTCTTTCGCTGGAAAAAAACATGGAAAGAGAACTACAGTGACGATTGTCTGTCCCATCTCTGTAAAGAGCATTCGCAGAAGCCAGTGGCTCAGCCCCAAGCCTTGAGGCCCCCTTGACTCCTCTCTCTCTCCCCCACCCGCATCCAATCCATCAGCAAATCCTGTGGCCTCTGCTTTCAAAGTAATCCAGAATCCACCACTCCTCCCAGCTCCTTGGCTTTACTGGGTCCAGCTGAGAGCGAGGAAGCTGGGGTATTTATACACCCGCCCAGGTCAGTCAGTGTGGAGGGCTGCTCTGGGTGTGCCCATCTCCCAGCGCTCTGGCTGGCTGAGGAGGCTCTGGCAGCCAGTGAAAGCCTTCAGGCAACAGATGCGGATGCTGATAGCCCTGGAAGTGGTGAGGGTGAGGGTGAGGGGCTGGGGTGGGGGCATCAACACCTGTGACACCCAGTGTCTGGAGAAGCACCCACAGATCAGGCGCACCAAACACATTTGTTGGTGAATGAATAAATGAATGAATGAATGCCTCCGTGGCGGAGAGAGGAAGTGCTCAGCCTCTCTGAGTGGTCTCCACCCCTGTGGCCTTGCTCCCGGCTCCCACAGCAGGCCCCAACCCGGCATTGCTGCTGGCATTCAGAGCGTCACCCGGAGTGACCTCAGCTACTCGCTGGTCCTGCAGTGGGTGGCTTCCATCAACCCGAGCCCCTGCTGCGCTGGACCCCCAACGGGGAGCCCCACGGGACCGGGGAGGAGCTGATCATCCAGAGGTTGTCCTGGGAACACCTGGGCACCTGTGTGTGCGCGGCCAGGAACAGCCAGGGACAGTATTTCTCCGAGCCTGTGACCGTCTTGCTGCCGCGTGAGCCCCCCACGCCCACCCCAGACCCCTGCACCTTTGCTGGTCAGAGGCCGGCTTTCCTGGTTCTGTTGAGCCACCTTCTATGAGTAGTGCCCTCTGAGACCTTTTACAGCCAAGATGTCATCCCGTTCTTCCATCCACCTGCAGAGCAGGGATTATTAGCCTATTTTACAGATGAGAGGCTGCGGCTTAAAGAGATGAACTGGAAAGTTCAACTCAGCATTTGGAGCCAGCTGCCTAGGTCCCGGCACCAACCATTTCCTGGCTGTGTGAATTCGGGAAGCCCCTTTGCCTCTCTGAGTCTCAGCATATGCCTGCAAAAAAATGCAGGTGACAATATAACCAGTGGCTCTGAGCACAGGCTTTGGAATTTGAATTCTGGCTCCATCACATCCTGGCTGTGTGACTTTGGCCCAGTGCCTTGACAGCTGTGTGCGTCAGTTTCCTCCTCTGTAAAATTAGGAAAATAATAGTGCCCATCCCAAAGTGTCATTGTGAGCATTCGATGAGATAAGCAGGTGAACAGCTTACAATAATAGTTCTTGCACTACTAAACGCCAGAGAGTGCTTAATAAACGTGAGCTAGTATCATTGCTGTGATGGCATTATCCATAGTGTTATTAATTTTGTGACTAATACCGTACGCAGTAGCGTGTCTGGAGCCCCGGGCGGCAGTAACAGGAACAGCCAGTTTTGGGGATAAGGAAAGTGGTTTGGGAGCCGAAAGCTGGGTTCAGTTCCTGCCCCTGACCCTTCCTGGCTGGATAACTCAGGACAACGGACTTGCCTTCTCCGAGCCTCGGTTTCCTCCTCTGTATAATGGGGGTGGTCGTGTACACCTCTGCAGGATTGTCATAAGGCACTGAAATGGTATGTGGGGGAGGCCCGCAGAACGCCTGTTAGCAGCAGGTGCTTTAGAGCAGCAGTGAGCATGAATCTGATTTGCCCTGTTTTTATTCATGAAGGATGAGCGGCTTGGAAGGGGCTAGAAGGACGCAGAGGAGCTGGCCCGGGAGCAGGAGGAGGTACTTGGGCAGCGGGGCATGCATGCGCAAAGGTCCAGAGCACGGAGAGGGTGGGGGCTGAGGGAAAGCCTGGATGGACTGGGTCCCAGAGGGTCCAGCAGGACCTTCGGGATGTGGTTTTGGGGTGATTCACTGGGAAAAAAAAATGTTAAGCCTGGAGGGCAGTCTAGCACCAAAGGCTGGAGAGTGTGGTCAGAGAGCAGGAAGGCCGCTGGACCCAGGGCAGCTGCTCGCTGCCCCTCTCAACCTGGCCCCTCACCCCTTGTAATCCTCTTCTCCAGGATCCTGGAATTCACAGTTCTCTCTCTCTGTCTCTCTGCAGACGGGCGCTCAGTGCTTCTCCATCCGCGTGGAGACAGACACCATCCCGTAGCTTCCAAGTCCACGACACCTCTGTTCAAGGGAACTGCCCACCTTACCCAGAATCCTTTTGTCTTGTTTCTGAACCCCACCGAGAAGGCACCGAATGGGCTCACTTGGGTCGGGTGTCAGCCTTGGTCCCCTCGCCGTGGCTGGGGTGGGGGCAGGGACGTTTTATACAATCAGAGCTCCCGGGGCTCAGCCCTGTCTGTGGGGGCTCAGTGCTCAGAGAACAGGGGGAGGTTTCACCTTGTAAGCTGGGCAGACACCCCAAAATAGGACTTCAACACATGCAACTTATTTTTGCTCCTTTAAAAAAAAAACTTCCAGGGTCCGGCCCAGTGCCATAGTGGTTAAGTTCATGCACTCCACTTTGGTGGCCTGGGGTTCATGGGTTTGGATCCCAGGCATGGACATACACGACTTGTCAGCCATGCGGTGGCAGCAACCCACATGCAAAGTGGAGGAGGACTGGCACAGATGTTAGCTCGGGGCCAATCTTTCTCACCCAGAAAAAAAAAAAAACTTCGACATGTAGAGAAGTGGGGGAGGTGATCGCAACCCCCAGAAATCCATGATGCATTTGTGAATAAGACCCAAAACTTTCTTTCCCCGGAGAATCCTGACAGGTGGCAGGCAATGGGGAGATGGGTGTGGATGAAACTCCTGTGCGAATGTATCTGACATCTGAGGAAGAGTCAGTGCTTCTCTGACCCCCGCAAAGCCACCAACCACATCATTATGATTAGTAATAATAGCAGTAGACGGACTTCAGATCTGGTCTGTCGAGGGCTGTCTGTGTGCCAGCCACTAAGCTAGATTCCTTATGTGGTTCATATGTCACAGCCTTGCTGTGCCCATTGAGGGGGAGAGAAGCCACCCCCACTTTACAGACGAAGCAGATGAGGCTCAGACAGAGGGTGAGTGACTTGTCCAGGGTCACACAAGTAGCACGTGAGAGGTCTGGTCTCCAAGCCAGGCTGCCTGGCTCTGAAATCCCTGATTCCAGTCACCCCACTGCCCTGTTCCTCCTCCCTGGAGCTGGAGCCCCCTTCCTCTTCTCTCACGGGCACCTCACCTCCTGTCAGGGAGATATCACTGTGACACATACATAGGATAAAAGTGAGACTCAGAGAGGGCAAGCAACTTGCCCAAGGTCACACAGCCACAGGTGATGCCAACTCAAGTCTGCCCGATCCCAAAGCCCGCGCCTTAGACCAGCGCTGTCCAATCGATCTCTCTGGGGTGATGGACATGTTCTTTATCTGTACCTTCCAATACGTGTGGCTACTGAGCCCTTGGAATGTGGACAGTGTAACTGAGGAACTGAATTTTTAATTTTATTTAGTTTTAATTAATTTTAATTCTAATTTATATTGCCACCTGTGGCTAGTGGCTATTGTATCAGACAGAGCAACTCTAACTGCTAATTGTTAAACATAGTAAATCCCCCAGCGCCCGTATGTATAGATCACTGACTCTGTGGCTGTTTGGGGGTCCTTGCCCTGCTCTGTCCCAGGGTCCAGATTTGCTAGGAAGCCCCTAATATCTAACCAGCTCCTTTCCCACTTGAGGTGCCCTGCTGTACTCTTCCCTCCTTCGTCTTCCCTCCGCTGTCAAAGGAGAAGTTAGTCATTTCCTGCCTGGGTGGTGACAGGGAAGGAGCTGATTCCGGCAGCTCCAAATCTGGCCGGGTCTCAGGGGTGACACAGCAGCCACTGCCTCGGCTACCAGCCAGCGTCCAACTGTCCTCTGGCCAAGGCCCATTAATACCCCTCGCCCTTTGGAACAGCTGAGAATTACTGTGACATTCCTCCTCTACTAAAAATAAACTGCAAGTTTCCTCAAAGAGACCTCTTGACCAGCCCTGTTATAAATCCGGTCCCCTGGTTGAACTTTCTCAGAGCGCTCTTCTGCGTTATAGCACTTGTCACATTGTGTCATTAAATATTTAACATTTGTGATTATTTAACATTTATCTCAGCCATTAGACTGTCAGCTCCATGAGAGCAAGACCTGTCTCTGTTATACAGTAGGTGCTCAATAAATGTTTGTTGAATGAGTGAGTGAGAGACTAAAACCACACTACTAGGAAAATTCAAAGGCTCAGAAATGGAAGCATTGACTGAGTCACAAACTCTTTTCCAAGCTGGAGTTTAACTGGATTAACTTGACCCAAACTCCTCTCACTCTCTCTGGCAGAAAAACAAGGTCTCCTTCCGAGGCCCCTGACCTAAACTCAGGTGGAGGATGAATGGTCATCTCAGCGCAGCAGAAGAGCCCAATCTGGGCAGCAGCTGTGGTAGAGATTGCCCTCAGGGCCCCAGAATTCATTCTCTCCTCCCTCCATAGTAACAGAATCCTCAACTTTTAGCTGGGCACATCATGTCCAAAGGGGAAAAAACTACATCATCAATAAAATGTGAGAAGTGTCATGTGTGGCTTTTGGAACATGTCCTTAAAAGGAGGCGGCACCCTTTCCTACTGGCAGGAATGGGGATGTGATGGCTGGAACTGAGCAGCCATATTGGATCATGAGGTGAACGTCTCACATGGAGGAAGACAGAGTGCCAAGTCAGAAGTGTGCTGAACTCAGCTTGTGCCAGCTCACAAGAGCTCACTGTGTACATCTCTTCCCAACTCTGCATTTAATGATGACACATTGATAGCTTGAAACCAACAGTGGTAGTGGTATTTACACCATGGACATTGGAAAACATTACAAATCAGGAATTTTTTCAGGGAGCTGATTTACCAAAATGGGTGTCTGGAGACTCTGTAAAGCCATCCAACCAGCCCTGTCTTAGATACTTCTGGATTCCTTTTACATGAATGAAGAAACAAACCTCTATCTTACTTAAACCACTGTTCTTCTAGTTCTGTTTTCCTTGCAGCCCAGTCTAATCCTAACGAATATGTCTAACCATGAGATTTAGGCCATACAGTCAAAAATTTAAATGCCACTTGGCAAAACAAAAGTTGAATGGCTAGGAGGGAGCCTGTGACCACGGGTAGGCATGAATGAATTTGGCCACAGCGAAAGTGTGAGCCCAGAACAGGCAAAATAATATCCCAGCATCCCCCAGTGGGGAAAAGGGCAACTTCCAGAAACATGAAAGAATTGTCAAAAGTAAGAGACGTTAGATAAGAAAATCGAGAATCTCACACCTGTTCTGGTTATTCTGTGACTATGCAGACATCACACATTTTGTATCCAGAGAGAAGAAAAAAATAAAGAAAAACCAGAACTTTCCTGCTTCTTCCTGGCAGTCTGTCCCTCCCAGGCAGCCACGTCTGTCATGATGTGCTCACTGACCACAGGTAGCAGCAAAAAAGGAAGAGTTGGCCTGGGGTGGAGGGAGTGGGCAGAGAGGAGGCTGAACTGCCTGACGATTATGGGGGGCTCAGGGTGTGGGGAGACGATGCTGAGGAGACCACATTATTTCCAAGATTTATCCCAAACCCAAAGTTCATTCTCTCAACCTGGTCCTCCCCCAGGGGCCCTCCCATCTCACTGGGATGTAAGTTCGGCATAGACCCGAAATCACAGAGGCTTCAACAAGATGGAAGTCAGTTTCTCTCTCATAACAATCCTGCTGGGAGCAGTCCAGGAATGGTACAGAGGCTCCTTCACTCCATGGCCCTGCCATCCTTAGGATGTTACAGGATCAGGGTGGCGCAGCAACATGTCCCCACTCCAACCAGCAGGAAGAGGCGATGATGGAGACAGGCGCGCTGCCTTCCTTTGAGGACGCGACCCAGAAGTTGCTCACATCACTTCCACTCACGTTCCACTGGCCTGAGCTTGGTCATTTGGCCCCACACGGCCCTGCAGGTTTTATCATTGGCTCACATCTCTGGTTTCAGCTTGCTTTGTGCTTCCTCTCACCGGGCACACTGACTTTATTCAGGGTTGGCTAACTGCTGTAATAAATATCTCCAAAATGGCAGTGGCTTAACCCAGTAAACGTGTATTTCTCACTCATGTGGTCCAGTGCAAGTCACTGGGGAGACTGCTCTACACAGTCATTCAGAGACCCACGCTCCTTCTAGCCAGTGTCTCTGCCCTGCTCTGGGTCATATAACCACCGTAATATGAGAGACTCTGAAAAATGTAATCTGGCTGAGTTCCTGGAAATAAGAGGAAATGAGTTTAGTGAAGAGCCAGCCAGTCTCCCTCGTTCTTTTGTGCTTACCCAGTTCTCTGCTGCCACCGGGCATTTGCACGTGCTGTTCCCTCTGCCTGGAGTGCTTTCCTCTCCTCTCTTCACCCAGTTAATTCCTACTCATTTAAAAGTCCCAACTTGGTCACCACCTACCTGGGTTTCAGCCCCCGATTGCACACACCCAGTAAACCTCTCCTTCTCAACAGTCATTGAAAGTTCCCAGTTTATAAGTGTTTGGGTGATCTTTTAATAATGTCTGTCTCCCGATAGATTCTGAGTCCCAAAGAGCAGAAACTGTGTCTTCCTTCCACAACAGTGCTGGTCCATGATGGGCACTCAATAAACACTTGTTGAATGAATAAATGAATGGAAGAAAGAAAGTAAGTGAAATACTTTTTTTTTTTTTTTGGTGAGCAAGAGTGGCCCTGAGCTAACATCTCTGCCAATCCTCCTCTATTTTGCATGTGGGATGCTGCCACGTCATGGCTTGATGAGCAGTGTAGGTCTGCACCCGGGATTCAAACTCGAGAACCCTGGGCTGCCAAAGCAGAGCACATGAACTTAACCACTATGCCACCGGGCCAGTCCCGTGAAACACTTTTTGAGCCCTGGAAGTTCTGTGGTGTGGAGTAAAACACTAACCTAGTTCTTTTCTGTCCTTGTAGGGTGAGCCAAGGCCTCAAGGATCTAAGGGAAGATAAATAAGCAAAAAGTCAAATGTACAAGGGATTTCTTGCCATAACCTCTGGCCATAATTTCTCTCCCCAACTCTTATTTTTCACATCCATTGTGCCAGGGTTGGCAAATGTATTTCTTCTCAACTACCATTTTTGATAAATTGGCAGTG